CCGACGCAGGCCTCAGGGGCCTGTGGCCGCTCGCCAAGCGTTGCCAGCTCTCCTCGGTCGTGGGAAAACGCGGGCCAGCCCCAGCCCCGCCGTGCTCTGCCCGGCCTCCGTTTCCCCTCCTGCCTCTCGGGTTCGCTGGGCCGGCGAGCTTTGGGCACTGCAGCAACCCTCGTGGGGACGGGGAGCCTGGGGGCGTGGCGGCCGCGCCGAGCCTCGAACGGGGCCCGGCCCGAACGACCCGCCCCGGGGACGAGGTGGTCGTTTACTTCCATTTCCTTAGCCCGACCGCAGGTGGAGGGAGAAGCCGGGCCAAGGATTTGGTCCACGCCCCCTCCTACCTCACTGCTGGGAGAAACTACATCTGGGGAGGTGGCGCAAGGTTGGAGTGTGTTTATCTTTATTAGTTACCTTGTCTCTAAAATGGGAGTCTCGTGGAGATTGTCTAGTTCACTGGCACGTATTAAATAGTCATAAATACTTATTAAGACATTAAGACGAGCCACGCGAGGCAGGGACTTTTGTAAGCTGTATAATCACCCGTGCCTGGAACAACGCCGGGCATGTAATAGGTATTCAGAAATTGTAGAAAGAATTGTGTAAATGTTCCTGGCCAGCATACATCTTAGGTAGAGGAGGATTAGTGTTTATTGAGCACCTACCATGAGCCAGATGCTGTTTTAACTGCTTTATTTGTCTTAAGTCATTTAAATTTTGCATTTTGCAGCTAAGGTGTAGGGAGGTTAAGTTACTTGTTCAAGGCCTCGCTAACTACCAGGTGGAAGAGAGAACATTAGAACTCAGTGATGTCTGATTACAAAGCCCAAACTCTTAACCACCATATACCTGGCACTTTACATATGATGATTTGTTTAATTCTGGCAACACTGAGGTAAAGGAGACCAGCGTCGATGAGGAATTGGAAGGTCAGAGGGTATGTGACATGCCCAAGGCTACACAGCCAGTAAGTAGTGAAGTTGAGATTTGAATTGGATCTGCTGACTCCACCATTTAAATTGCTTCCAGAGATAAAGCATCACACTTCTGCAGACACACAGTGTGAATGAAGCCATTGAGCAGGGCAGAAACACAGAATGCAGCTTCTGCCTGAAAGACTTAGAGGCTCACAGTGATACAACTGGCACGTCATCAATCCCAGTCTCCTCACGCTATAGGTGGGGAAACTGAGGCTCATGCTTGTGGCATGACTTGCCCGGCCAGGCCAGGACTTGAATATAGCCACCCCTCAGTGCCAACCTAATGCAAATCCCCTGGCAGCACATTTTCTCCTGGCATACTGCCTGCAAAGGCATACTGCCTGCAGCAGGCAGGTTATGTTATATCCCATGAAAGCACAGTATTCCTAATAGGCTGATATGTCCCAGAACAGCTCACTGCCTCTTATAAGGCTGGTGACATTGAGAACAGGAGCCACGTCTTTTTCATCTCTGTAGATCTCGGTGCTTTTATTTCTTTGTGCAAGTAAGTGATTAGTAAATGCCTGCCCATTGAGCGGATGAGAGAAACAATCATGAATGGCCAAAAGACTTCCATATTCCTTGAATATAAAGTTAAGACATGACTATGCATAAATATTAAAGGATCTTCTCATCCATTGTGCAGGTTTGGTGGGACAGGTGTCCCCATTGCACAGATTAGGAAACTGGGCCTTAGAGAGAAAGTAGAAGTAGTAATCTGGACTGGCCTCACAGTTCCTGACTCCTGGTTATCACATAAGAGCTGAGAATAAGGGCCTGAGCACACTGCCCGGGATGGAACTCAGGCAACTGTAGGCAGTTTTCTTAATTTCTCAGTACTTCTATATCAACTGTAAAATGAGAGGATAATAGTTATAATTACACAGGGTTCATTGAGAATGAAATGAGTTAACACATGTACAGTTACTCTCAATATGGCACATAAATAAATGTTCAATAAATGTACACTGCTTTTGCTAAATGATATTTTTTAGTAAGATGAGAATGAGGAGTTTCTCCATCCCAGCCTTCCTTCTTGGCTTTTATTCCCCCCCACAGTAGGTGGAATTTGTTTGAGGTAATGTGAAGACTAATAGTTGGTTTAATTTTCTAGGCCCCCAGATACAGACCTATTTGTAAGTGTGGGCCATGTCTTTGTGTCTTTGCTCCTTTTTACTCAAAGGAGATACGTGTTAGATGAAAGCCTGTTTAAGGATCCCAGGTTACTATCTCTGTTTCAGATCGCCTTAGCAAGCTTTTATGAGGATGGAGGGGACGAAGACATTGTGACCATTTCACAGGCAACCCCCAGTTCAGTGTCCAGAGGCACAGCCCCCAGGTAAGGGTCAATTTCAATTATTGCTATATGGGTGTGCTTCCAGCAGTGATGAGGAGCTGTTTCCTAACTTGACAGAGGGTTCAGGCCTGGGGATACAGACCAGTGGGTTTGAGTGAGAAAGTTAGACTGACTGGTGGGTCATAGTTCTTTGTCCAGAGGAAAACTCTGGTGGCATTATTAGAAGCCAAGTTTATGCTAGCACCTTAAGGGAATTTCTTGTGGAGCCTGCCTTCCCCCAGTCCAACCTGTTTGATCTGACTTCCTTTCCTGTAGAGATATGTATAAGGCACTCAGGTGGGGAATCTTACGTGAGTGTGGTTTATGGTCTAATCCTGGGGGAAACCACAGAACCTACTTTTAAGAGTTTGAAGGTCTTTTATTTATGAAAACTGAGGAGTGGCCTCTCCATCTCTGGAGGTTTTCAGTAGAAACTGAAGGACTTCCTTCCAGGAGTGCTGTAGATATAAAAGATCAGACGTTAGAAGGGGTTTTGTTGTTTTGTGGTTTTTTTTGGGGGGAGGGTTTGTTTTTTGACATTTTAGGGTGCCCATTACCCTATTAAGAAGTCTTAGAGAAAATAAACCTGCATAACCCATCCTTTCCCAAGTAGATTACAGAAACCTTATCTTATTAGGTGAACTGTTATTAATCTTTATAATCCTGTTTGCATCCCCTGCCCCAGCCACCTTGACTCCAAGGTTCCTAGGGCAGATCTCTGCTGTGATCTGCAGTGAAACAGTGCTGATCTTCTAGGAGACAGGCGAGACTTCTTCCTACAGAAGTGTCTGACCTGCAGCTTCTCTCTCTGCTCTAGCTTGATTTGCCTCTATTCTCTGGCATGTGTTTACCAGAAAAACTTACTTGGGTTTGACTTCAATCCCAGAGTATAGATACAATGTTTCTTTGCCAGTGAAGTTGCTAATTGTGTTTCTGAGCCTTTAATCACATTTCCTCCCCCATTTAGTTAGTTAGTTAGTTATTTTGCTGATCCTCACCTAAGGATTTTTTTTTCCATTGATCTGTTGGGGGGGGGGGAAGACATCCATTGGTTGCCTCCCACATGCACCCCGACCAGGGCCAGGGCTGAACCTGTAACCAACCCAGGTACATGCCCAGACCGGGTATCAGACCCACATCTCATCAGTGCGTGGGCCGGCACTAACCACTGAGCAACACCGGCCAGGGCACATTTCCTCCGTTTAAAGGAACACTAACCCCAAATCTCATTGCTTCCTTAACTTCTTTCCCTACCTCCCATTTCCAGAGGAAAAAGGTTGTAGGCAACTAATCTTTAATTATTCATAGGGACTAACCTGTGAGATGTCCTTAATGGCACATCTGGATGTTACTACTGGGTTATTAGGATGAGGGCTCTTCTTACAGCTGCTGGTAGAGACAGCTGATTTCCTGGGGTGTGACTCTTTCAGGTTACTGGTGGGGGTTGGCGTGTCAGTAATACAGAGTGGGAAAAGTTGAAAGTTAGCCTATAATGTCAGCCACATATTCACATCTGTCTTCTCTAGTAGTCCCAAAGTCCTATTAAGAGGGTGGTTTAATAGAGCATGGGTCAAGAGTCTGACTGCTTAGGTCCAAATCCCAGCTCTGTCCCTGGAGATTTGTGACCTTGGGCAGGTTACTTAACATCTCAGTCCCTCTGTTTTTCTCACTTGTCAAATGGGAATGGTAGTAGTGCCTACCAAACAGGAGATTAAATTAGTTAATACTTACAAAGCATTTTGAACACAATAAATGTTAGCTGCTATTATTGCCATTTTATTATCATTAGCATCCATTCTCACGTTCCCCATTTTTTTGTGTGTGTTCCCTGTCATTTCACAACAAGTACACATATTTTAAACATAGACATAAAAGTAAAAGAATCGAGGATTTAGGAGAGTAAAAGACTGACACATGCAGATCTAAAGGCCTTGCTTTGTTGCTTTGGTTAAGCCTCAGACTTGTCACTGAGGGAGAGGGAGGGCACAGTTTGTTGCATTGTTCTTGTCCAGAAGGAAAATGCTGACTACATCCTCAGAAGCCAAGTTTATGCTAGCACCTCAAAAGAATTCTGTGTGGAGCCTGCTTCTCCCCATCCCCAGTCCTGTTTGCCTGACTGTTGTAGGACACTTAGCCTTCCTCTGGGCTTTGCCCATGCCCCACTATCATCTTCTCAGATACCTTTCATGTTGTCACTGCATGTTTCATGAACAATTAGTAAGTTACTTCTTTGACTCTAGAACAAGCGTTCTTAGTGGGGAGGCTCTGAATCCTTCGGATAAATCTGTGGAATGAATGCGAGATGGTTCATGAATGACCTGAAATTGTAGGCAAAAATTTGTTTGTATGTTTTATCTTTTCTCTTGAGGAAATCCGTAGCATTTGTCAGTTTCTCAGAGGTCTGCAGGGCATAAAAAAGTTAGTCATTGCTATAGGAGAAAGTCTAAATCCCTCCATAGTAACAGTTGTCGTTTATTGAGCACTTACTAAGTGTCGGGCACTGGGTTAAATCTTTACATATATCTTTCTTTAGTCCTCACTGCAGCCCTCTGAGGTGGGTACTTTGTTGTTCCCACTTTAGACACTGCTTAAGTTCAGATCTCAGCTCTGTTGCTGGAGATTTGTGACCTTGGGCAGGTTACTTAACATCTCAGTCCCTCTGTTTTTCTCACTTGTCAAATGGGAATTACACTGAAGCAGGGCACCTTCCCAAGACCACACAGCTAATAAAACAAGGATTTAAATGCAGATCTGTTTCTGACTACAGCATTCAGCTTTCAGCCAGAATGATATACTGCCTCTCCTTGTTGACATGGAGGCTTCTCCAGAGTTTGCCATGAACCTGCCATCCTAACCTTAACCCCTTTTTCTCATTTACCAGACTGATTTCTTTGGGTCTCAGTTTTGCCTTATTTTTGTTCTGCCTTTGTTTGAGCCTTTCACTGGCCTGGGCATGCCTGCTCTTGCTTTCTTCCTGTCCAGATCTCACGCTTCCTCTGGGTTAGCTCCATCCCCACCTTCCCTGTTGAGCATGTTATCCCCAACCCATAGGCAGCATGCCATAGTTCTATTCCTCAGAACTCCAGTCACAACTCTAATTCAGTCACTTCTTTGACCCATATCCTCCTTGTTCTCTTGGTGACATCTCTACTGTGTTGTCATGAACTCTTCTCCTCATATTTAACTTAATTTTTTCTCACTAAGTAAATTATAAGTTCTAAGAAGTGGTCGGGTTAGTATTTCAGGAGCACCCACATCTGTCTAACTCTACCAGATAGTCTCACCTATGCTCTCTTCTTATCTGAATAGCTGTGGAAGTAGTTAGGGTGCTCACCATTTCACAGGTCAAGATGCTGAGTCTTAGAAAGGTTGAGTAACTCACATTTGCTGTTATGCCAGAGTCAAGCCCAAGTCTGTCTAAATCCAGAGCTACTTCTACTTCTGTGTTCAGCACCTCCCAGCCCTGTACCTATAGCACAGGGTCAGCCAACAGGTAGCAGTTAGTTCCTTTTTTTTTTTTCTTCTTCTAACAAAACTGTACTTTTTGAGAATTTCAGGGACTACTGTTGTCTGATCTAAAACTATACTGTCCAATATGGTAGCCACTAGCCTCCTGTAGCTGTTTAAATTATTAAATATTTGTACTTAACTACATTTCACATGTTCAGTAGCCACGTGTGACTAGTGGTTTCCATGTTGGCAGAAAATGTGATCTGACAGAGGACTTTTGTGCCACTTCAGGGTGCCCCGGTAGCCTGGGAGATAGTTTTGATGCTGAAAAATTGAGATTTCTGAGACATTTTGCCACTTTGTGGAAGACATAGACAAAATATTCTGAAATTGGCAGTGTCCCCAAGACATCCATACCAGTAAGGTAACTCAGAGCAGTGGTTCTCAAACTTGAGCATGCATGTGAATTACTTGGAGGGCTTCTTAAAAGCAGATTGCTAGACACTCCTCCATAGTTTCTGTTTGAAGAGGTCTGAGGTGGGGCCTGAGGATTTGCGTTTCTCACAGTTTCACAGGTAATGCGGATACTCCAGTCCAAGGACCAACACTTTGAGAACCACTGCTCAAGACTAGTACTTGAAATGTGCTACATTATGCATCAGTACCCCGGCTGTTCACAGAAAGCCTATGAGGTTGGTACTGTGATTGTCTCAATTTTCACATGAGAAAATGAAGGCTTAGAAACTTTATTAGTATGCCCAAGATCCTACGGTAGGAGACTGAGCTGGGATCAGGCCCAGGTATGTGGACACCAGAGTCTGTGTTAGGTACTGTCAGAGTCTAGGTATAAGAACTTTTGGGGGGAAAATCAAACCCATAGCCGGAGCAAGTGGTTTGCTAAAGCAAGTGTACACCTGTGTATTTGAAGGTGTTTAACAACAGAGAGACAGGATTTTTTATTCGTATTTATTTCTTTTTAACCATGTCATAGAGCATCAAGGAATGCCCAGGAGGTTGCCTTCAGCTAACTCAGGCAGGGAATGTATTTGCCTCATCAAGTGGTCTTTGTCCTCCCACTTCTAGTTGATGGAACCTCAAAGCCTGTTCTGTACCCTACTCGTATCCTTGAAATAAACCTTTAAGACCAAACTGGAGCTTTCTTCCTAGAAAACAACTGTTCCTTCTCTGTCCAGCCTCACTAAGTCTGTATTATCCTCTTGTCCCCATATCATAGGAACGCTACTATTTTCTCCTTAGAAATACAGAAAATGTTTTTATAAGATGTGTGTCTTACGATCCTTGTAAAACTAAGACTGTCCCTTAATGACAAATCTAAACCAGAAAAAAAGTGGCAGTGTAAGACAATGTCAGAGGAGGGAGTTAACCCTTCTCACACCCATTTTTAGTGTGCCTCTCTACCACACCCCAGACAACTCTTTTTTTTCCTAAACACTAACAAATACTTCTTGACTAACCTACATGAGAAGCAGGCAGAGGCCTCCTTGCCTCTTCATGTCATTTCTACATCTTGACAGCTTGTCCTTCCTCTAATGTGTTACTCTTGCTAATGTCTGTGCATATACTTCTTTCCTTTAGTGCCCCGCTGGTTCCTTTGCCCCGCCAGCCCCACCACCCTTTATCCAACTGACTGACAGTCCATCAGTTCTTCAGCACTCAGTCCAAATGTTGCATTTTTCTGGGAAACGTTTCCTGATGTCCCCCATCCCCCCTCAGAACATGGTTCTGCGCTCATGTGTCCCATGTGTTTTCCTCTGTCATAGCCCCTGTTACATAATATTTAATGATGGTTTCCTGGCCAAAGTGCCACTAGGCTGTAAGCAACTCAAGGGTAAGAACTGTGTGTGTTCATTTTTATAGATCTACCACCTAGTTGAGTGCCTAGCACAGGCATTCCCTCAGTATTTAAAAAGTAAATGATGCCTGGCCGGGCGTGGCTCAGTGGTTAAGCGTCGACCTAGGATCCAGGGGATCAGGGTTCGATTCCCGGTCAGGGCACATGCCCAGGTTGCGGGCTGCAGCCGATCAATGACTCTGTCATCATTGATGTTTCTATCTCTCTCTCTCTCCCCCTCCTTTCCTCTCTCTGAAATCAATAAAAATATATTAAAAAAAAAAAAAAAAGTAAATGATGAAAATAGCAATTCATTAGTAAGTTTTTAAAATAGTACAGGCCCCATCTCATTCCCCCCCTTTCTAACTTATTCTCAGCCCTGTGTGACCTTGAAGAAATAAATGCCACATTATTTTACTTACAAACTTAGAGAGGTTAACCCTCTTCCACAAAGATCCTCTTCCTGCCCCACCAAAAAAATCTAACCCCAGTGTCCTCAACTCCTTAGCAGCTGGTGATGGGGGATACCTTTCTTGAACTCCCCTGAGATCACTTTGCTCTTTTCTGCATCTCCAGCGATAACAGGGTAACATCCTTCAAAGACCTCATTCATGACCAAGACGAAGAGGAGGAGGAGGAGGAGGGCCAGAGGTGAGTCTTCATGGGGGAGCACAGTCCACAGGAAAGTCCTTGATAATGTGTAAATCATGGTAATGTGTAAATCATCTAGAAGGATAAACGTGTTTGGTTATCATTAGCTATTACTACTGGCGACTAGTCACACACATAGTAGAAATAGCCTCCCCCCCTCCTCCAAGAGATAGCTTTGAAGTAATCCCTGTCCCTTGTTACTACTGCTTTTATTTTGGTGTATTCTGGGTTTATTTTTGTTTTTAATTGTTAAAATAGTATGTATTTATTGAAGAAGGTTATGGGAAGGGAAACATCAATAAAAAAGAAAAAAAGTCCTTTATAATATCACAACCCAGAGATAACCAGGTATCAATATTTTTGGTGTATTTCCAGCGTTTTCTTTTTAATTAAAAAAGCAATACAACACAACCCTGGCTGGTGTGACTCAGTTGGGCATCGTTCCATGCACCAAAGATTGCTGGTTCAGTTCCCCTTCAGGGTACATGCCCAGGTAGCAGGCTCCATCCCTGGTAGGGGACGTGCAGGAGGCAGCTGATTAATGTTCCATTCTCACATCGATGTTTGTCTCTCTCCCTTTCCTTCCCTCTCCCTCTAAAAAATCAATAAAAATTATTTTTAAAAAGGCAATATATCACATAATAAACAGAATAAAAGGCTTCTGAATGTATGTTCCCCCACTATACACACATACATACTGTTTGTTTTTAACTTTTAGGAATGTTATAATGAAATTAGTATACGTTGTAGAAAATACAGAATAGTGTAATGAAAAATATATAACACTCATCTACCATTTGGTAACTACATTAGTATTTTGGTGTATTTCCACTTAGTTTTGGTTCTGTGTATAAATATACTTTGTTTTATATTGTAATTTACACTGTAACAGTCAGATAATTTTGTTTTTTGCTTTTGTTGGGTTACTGCTACATCTTAAACACTTCTTCATGTCATTAAAATTCTTCATATGTGTTTTCAATGACTATAATAATCCATCATACGGGATGTCTGACATTTAGATTGTTTCATTTTTTACCACTGTAAATATCAGTGCTGTGAACATATCTGTCTGTTAATCTTTGACTATGTTTCATATTATTTTCTTAGAATCATGTCTAGAAATAAAAATACCAGGTCATGGACATTAATGTTTTTAAGGCACTTGATCACAGGCCCTAGCAAATAAGGCAAGGCTTGGAGATGCCTTAAAAAAGACCTGATAGTCCATTGAGCAGAAATTCATCTACCTGGAATGAGCAAGAATGTACTGGCTGCAGCCTCGTTTCATGGGTTTTGCTTCTTTGTGGACTCTGCCTTGGTCTGTCAGACATTCCTAAGGAACACTGTGTAATAACCATTATGGAAATGCAATTAACTCATCATGGTCACTCTTTGGGAAGTGGGCTGAGAAATCACATGTGTTCTATTTTCTGATTTCATCTGTATACACTTTACATTGCCTCTGAGCCTTCTTAAATATACTCAAGGTTCAGAAATAAATGTTAATTTCAGGGTTTTACACTCCTTGAGTGACAGGCAGTGTCATTAAGTATGTGAATGTCCAGCTCCTAAATGACCTCCTTCTACTCCTCCTCCCATCCTGTCACATCTGCCAGGCATTGACTTTTCTTTATTTGACATCCTGATTACTTCCTCTGCCCCTCAACATTTCAGACCTGATGACACTGGTAGTATTCTTTCGAAAGCCTATGGCTTTGCCTTGCATTCCCTAGGGAACATCAGGAAATGAAAGGCTGAGACTAATTTTCATAGGTTCTTAATTCCCCCTACCCATGGACATGCTATTGACTTAGCTGTGAATAGAAATAATAAGGAGGCAGCTAGGCAAACTACCTGACTCCTGGTTTTCAGACCCAGGTAAAAAAGTGCTAACTTAATCTCAAGCCATGCTTGGCCCCATTGCAAAACTCAACGTGGGTATCTTGAGGCTTGTTTTTGAGCATCCCTGGCCTTTTCCAGTACCCTCGCCTCAGTGCCCCCGGTATAGGTCACAAGAATAGCAGGATGAGGTAAGGCTTGGGTGAGCTCTTGGTGCTATATCACACCACCTTACATGTGTGCATTACTCTGTGCTTGTTCTTTTGCATACATCTGCTGATTTGAACCTCATGGCCCTGACTTAAGGAGCAGGTAGGTAGGGCATGTGGTTCTTCCCTCCCATTTCAGAGACAAAGAAAGTAAGATACACAGCAGTGTGCTGGCTTACCCAGGGTTACTCAGCAGCAGAGCCAACACTGGAGCCTTGCTGCCTGTACTAACCATGCCACTGTCACCATTAACCCAGAGCTGCTAGTGGTAGCTGCTTCTGACCATGACCATAGTTGCTATGCTCTGGAGAGGTGCTGGCCACCAGATGATAATTGCCAGTTGGGACTCTGGAGCCGACGTGCTGCCATGCATGCCTGGAATGCCCTTCCCTGATTTCTTCACCTGATCAACTCACCCTCATCCTCAAGACTCAGCTAGAAGACGTCCTTCTTAGGAAGCCTTGACTGTCCTTCCCAGCTCAGTGTTCCCAGAGCACCCCTTATACTGGCCTCTGTTGCTGCTCACACTGCATTATGCCTGCCTGCCTCCTTACACATGTCCCCAGTTAGACAGTAAGTTCCTTAAAGATGGACATAGTACCCTTTGCTTCAGTGTGCCCAGCACCTATCCCAGAGCCTGGCACATGCTCTATTTGTGTTTTCTAAGTGCGTTTGGTGTTAGATGTGTATTTTCTGCACAGGTTTTATGCTGGAGGCTCAGAGAGAAGTGGACAACAGATTGTTGGCCCTCCCAGGAAGAAAAGTCCCAACGAGCTGGTGGATGATCTATTTAAAGGTGCCAAGGAACATGGAGCTGTAGCTGTGGAGCGAGTGACCAAGAGCCCTGGAGAGACCAGTAAACAAAGAGTGAGCATAGAAGGTTGTTGTCTCTGTCCAAAGAACTCAGGTCCCATAGCAGGAGAAGGAGGCTCTCCTCACCCCAATGGTGACTGAATTTTTGTTTGGTTTTTCATTTGCTCACTTACTCTCATACGCAGAAGAGCAGCACAGCTTCTCCACCCTTTAACATGAAATCAAGACTTGCAGCAGTGTTTTCAAGCCTGTGACCTGTGATCCGGGTTGGGTTTCAACACATTTTATGTGGCCTATTCAGTTTGACTTACTCAGTGTTTTGCTTTATTTTGTTTTAATTGAATTAATAGCCACCTGTTTTATATAAAGTCAGGGTTTCCGTCTCTTCGGGGAAATAAAAAATTCTTCAGTGTTGTCCTTTTCACAAATTTCTGGGTGGCCATGATTAGAAGTAGGAGCAACTGTTCCCTTTAGCCAAGCAACATTCCCTTCTTCCAGTTCTCACCCTATTCCTGGCCACTTAATGGCCATGCAGGTAGATGGCCCTGCAACTCTGCCTGGGCCTTTAATTCTGAGGTTGATACCCAGAGAGAGTGAATCTAGTACTTAAGGAGCTTTTAATAATCATTGTACCTGAGTAACCCCACCCCCACTGACCCACTCCTCAAGTGTGTGTGATTTTGTCTTTTATAGCCATTTGCTGGGGGTGGCTACCGCCTTGGGGCAGCACCAGAAGAAGAGTCTGCCTATGTGGCAGGAGAAAGGAGGCGGCATTCCGGTCAAGATGTGAGTGTTCATCTTCCTTCCTTAGGAAGCTTGTGAACTGTTCTGCCATTTTTCGGAAGGGATTGGTCACATGGTATGCATGAACCAGCAGCCTCTGAAAGGGAAGAGCCAGTGCCCTTGCTGTGGCCCATGAACAGAGAGGCTTACCTGAGAATCAAAGGTAGCTCTCATCTAGCTGGGAAGGGGGCTCATAAGAAGGGGTAGGCAGAGGGGATGGACAAATAAAGGAGTTTACTAGCACTCCATGGATCTCAGGCAAAGGGGCAGTATATCCAGAGTTGTCTGGTGGGATAAGCACAGCTAAATAATTTGTTCTCCAGACCACCCAAAGAGACCTGAAATGCAACTTTTTTTTTCTTTTTTTTTAATATATCTTTATTGATTTCAGAGAGAGGAAAGGAGAGGGAGAGAGAGAGAGATAGAAACATCAATGATGAGAGAGTCATTGATCGGCTGCCTCCTGCACGCCCCCGACTAGGGATCAGGCCCGCACTCTGGGCATGTGCCCTGACTGGGAATCGAACCCTGATCGCCTGGATCCTAGGTCGATGCTCAACTGCTCAGCCACGCCCTGCTGGGCGAAATGCAACTTTTTATGAAAATTTCCTTACTATTAATTATCCAGTCCCTATATGTAAGGGTCCCCCCTCCAGTAAGAGTAATCATACTATATAAACAATTTTGAGGTGGTTTTAATTTAATACTAATGCCATAAACTTTTTCATATAGCCTTGTCACCATTAGTTTCCATAATGTATTTGTTTTTGAATCAGTTTGGGGTTTATTCCAAAATAAAAGCTAAGGAAGAAGAAAATAGAAATCCCTATCCACCTGAGGCAGCAGCTACTAACGTGTTGGTTTTTAGCCTTCTAGACCCTTTTCTGTGAATACGTACATGGAGTCGTAGATATTGTTAATGACTGCAAAACAGTCTGTAGGTAATTTAGTAGAACACAAGCTACATGCCACGCACACTGGCAACCCTACTGATGAGGAAAGCCACAGCTTCGATTGAGAGTTACCTGCTCAGAGCCACTGAGCTAGCGATTGGCAAAAGTAAGGCACAGACCCAGGTCTGCTTAAATCAACGCCCAATCTCTTAACCTGTCCCATACTATCTTATTTTAGTTTAATACTTACTTGGTCGATTTCCTCATGCATGTGTTTGTATTTGTCTGTGTTTTAATAATGGCACAGTAAAATAGTAAAAGCTGCTAACTTGCAGGTTTACAATGATGTGCTTGTGAGGTTCCTAACAGTGGGTGGACTGCTTACCTCCTGTTTTCACAGGTTCATATAGTGTTGAAGCTCTGGAAGAGTGGATTCAGCCTGGACAATGGTGAACTCAGAAGCTACCAAGACCCATCTAATGCCCAGTTTCTGGAGTCCATCCGTAGAGGGTGAGCAGAAAAACCCTCCTCTAGGTTCCTTGTTAGTGAGTAAGATGGTAGATGGGAAAGAAGAGGCTGATCCAAATGTTTACTATTTAAGAAATAAACATTTATAAGCAGATTTAGCACAGTTGAGGTACAGATTCACAGATCTGTACCAAAAACCTTCTGTGTCTGTTTTTCCCCTTTGGATCTTGAGCAAAGCCAAGTGACCAAATAAATACAGGTCCCTCCTGTGCCTTTGAGCAGACAAGAGAGAAGGGGAGGCAAACAGGTAGCCACTAGAGTAGCCAGCTTTCCGTGGAGACCCAGCAATTCTCACAGTTGGAACTGAAAAGTTTATTCATTTACCCATCACTGTCATTCCCATCCTGCTCTGTGTGGGCCCCAGCATTGCCTTTTCTCCCACAGGGAGGTGCCAGCAGAGCTACGGAGGTTAGCTCATGGTGGGCAGGTGAATTTGGACATGGAGGACCATCGAGATGAGGACTTTGTGAAGCCCAAAGGAGCCTTCAAAGCCTTCACTGGCGAGGGTCAGAAACTGGGCAGGTAAGGAGCTGCACAGGTGGGAGTGGAACTGCCTGTCAGGTTCAGCAAACCCTGTGTATTGCTCACTTTGTATAAATCTTTACTCTTTACAAAGTACTTCACACTTTATTTTTATGGGAGGAGGATTATGGAGAACGTGGGCTTTAATGTTGATAGACCTCAGTTTAAATCTTCCCTTTCTAGCCACATGACCTTGGACTGTATGTCCAGTTTGCCCAGTTATAAAATGGGACTAATGAGAGGCCTTACCTCCTTGATTATTGTTATGAGGAGTACATAGAGCACAGCCTCACAGTGAGCAGTCAGTGTGAGAGGTAAGGGTAACACATTGCTGCTTTGACACAGTAATTTAAGGTGTTCAGGGCAGGGCCAACCTTGATAGCTTCAGGCTAAAACAGACACACCTATTCAGGTCACCAGAAATGGGAATTCAGAGAGAATAAGGAATCCTGGACTGTTTCCTCCCAGCAAGCCCTGCAGCAGCATTGTTCAGGATCCAAAGAAGCTCAAAGATACTGTTGCCCAGTGCAGGTTGCTGATCCACCATTATGGTAGCTCTTATCTCTTCTGTGGTCCTTCTTGTTACTCAAACTCTGTCCCTTCCTGTGACTTTTTCTGCTTTGTGTCCTCTGCCATGGCCTCCATCTTGCATTCAGACCCCTGATGGGATCTGGTTAATTGGTAGTCACTGTTGCCTCTGATAGGCAGTTTCCCCACCAGACCCTTGACCAGCCTGTAGGCAGACTGCCTTCTCTCAGGGGCCCACTCACTTTTGACCATGATCATGAGGTCACATGACCAATATTCTTCAGCTGGAACTGAGTGCACATGGGAGTCACTCAGAGCATAGTATAGTCCTTATTTTACAAAAGGAAAGCTGCGGCTCTTGGACTTTAAGGGTTTACCTTTGGGTACATGACTGGTATATGTTGGAGCCGGGACTGGAACCCAGGCCTTCTGATTGGCATTCCTTCCCACACTCCTTCTGCATAACAAGATCCCTTCTGTAACCTAGATCTGGCAGCTCTTCCACTGCCCTTGCTTATCTCACCCTCTTCAGTAGGGATCAGAGTGTGGTCTGTCAGCAGCTATGCTCTTTGAGCTGCCAACTGGCCCTCTCCTAAAATTCCCTACCTCCCTTGTCGGCCATCATGCCTCATCAGGGGCAAGGGTAATAGCTCAAGACATTAGACACCAACAGATTGTAATTTACCAGAACCCACATAGTTCTCATCGTTTCACCTACCACCTTAGGGTCCCTGGGTTAGTCCAGGACAGCTGTTCTCAGGGTGGTCTATCTGTAGCTTCCCTGTCAGCTATGGTAAGCTTTGTAGAACACTAAAATAAAATGTTTACCTTTTAAAAAAAATAGAAAATTCAGATAAAGAATAAAAACTGTTCCTAACCCTAACTCCCAGGTATATCCAGTTAGTATCTTGGAATTATCCTTCTAGCTTTATATGTATAGCGTGTGTGTAAACCTGTTTTGCCTAATCCATATGGTATAGCTGTTGTTCCATATCAGTAGATGTATTTCTATAATATTACTTCTAATGCTAATATAATTTTCTGTCCTGTGTATATGCTATAATTGAACCAGTCCCTGCTGTTAAACATTTAGGCAGCTGCCAGTGTTATGAACAACATTACAGCTAGCATCTCTAATTAAATCTTGGTATGCCCCTCCTCTGCAAAGGCCTAGGCCAGGGCATCTGCTGAGAGAAAGTCTGAGAATGAGGTATATGGTGGTTTACAGGAGAGAGACAAAGTTTCTAAATGGTTGTGGAGAATTGGGAGTTATATGTACATTTTGTGGACATATAACTCCCTGAGTGCTTTATTTGATTCTCCCCTTAAATCCCCACAAAAACTGAGCAAGACTGGTAGCCTTAACCTTTGTTAAAGATGCTTGTTACTACCCTTGTTGGAACTAAGGGAGCTTAAGTAACTTGCTCAACACCACAGAGCTAGTGGGTGAATTCCAGCCTCAGTCCATCTATAAGCTCTAAACACTGCAGTAGACACCATGTCTTGTTCATAATGTATAATCAATCCCTGTGGTGCCAGGCACTTAGTTGGCCTGCGGGAAATCCCACCTCATCCCCCTTTTCTCATAGTTGACACACGAGTATGAAATACACACATGAGTAAGGTTGCAGTAGGGAATGCAGGCCTGAAAAATTTCATCACAAAGAATCTAGACTCATCAGCCACTGCCAGACTGTCAAGCCTGCCTCCACTGCAAACTTGGAGTGCCCCCTCCCCCTCAGCCTCTCTCATTGAGGCTAAAACTCATCCTGGTCTATTGGGCCCTCCAGCTTCAGGTCCCGGTCACTCCTACCCCAGGCTGTCATGTATGCAGCTTTTCTCCCTTTAAGCCCTTGTTCAGATGAGTACACCAAGGAAGAGGGCATTGAATAACTTGCCCAAGATTACTTGGAGTGAAGGGGAGCTAGCAGCAACTCTCATTTTGAGGCAAATTCTGCTGGACCTGTAAGTTCCATGAGGGCAGGCATTCTGTCTTAGTTACTCCGGTTTCAGCAACACCAAACAATGCCAGGTGCAGCAAATGCATAGTAAAAATCCGAGACAAGATTTCCCTCCTGCTAGGGGCCGTGTTTCTGTTAGTGTCCTGACATGATCCTCTCTCCTCAGCACTGCACCTCAGGTATTGAGTACCAGCTCTCCAGCCCAGCAAGCAGAAAACGAAGCCAAAGCCAGCTCTTCCATCTCAATCGACGAGTCACAGCCTACCACAAACATCCAAATACGGCTTGCCGACGGTGGGAGACTGGTGCAGAAATTTAATCACAGCCACAGGTACCTTACGTTGTCTGGCCTGCCTTATTCTAGGAGGGTCCCAGAGAGTCCCACAAATGGGAGGAAGCAGGGAGCTGTTGTTTCTTCTAACCTCAGCAGGCACGCCATGCTTTTCGCAAAGGAGGCAATGGGATGGGAAGGCTTTCAAGTCTGAAGCCTTTGGTCCCTACTTCCATTAAATGTGGCCACTGACTGCTCACTTCCCTACTGTGGGTCTCATTCCTCACCTCTAAAATTAGGGATTGGATTCCTTAGGGAATTTTGAGCCATCAAACTGTTAGTTCAAAGGAAATCTCATGCTAAAACCCAAGTATAGAACAGATAAAATTTGAACAGCTGTGTTTGATAGAGGGGAGAGGAGACACACAGTACCAGCATCCCACCCATAGCTTCCTCCTCTCTCTCACAAGGGGCCTCTGAAAACAACGAGGCTGTTAAGGCCTCTTCCAGATCTGGCATTTGAGCATTCTAAAATACCTACTCTACTATCTCAGACCATCAGGCCTGGGTCAAAGCAAAATGTGCCTCTCTCCTTTTAAAGATAGGGAAACTGAGGAACAGAGTGATGGATTGATTAGCAGTGGAGGATTGAGTAAAGATATTTGGCAGCTCCTTTTTCTAGAATAGCAGTATCTAAATTTCATAAATCATAGGCCAGATGAACCAAAACCCACATGTGGGACACAATGAATGGCTTGACAATCCTTGAGTGTTGACAAGGTTCACATGTCGGGTAAGTTGTGAAACAGGCCCCAGGAGCACCTAGAATCTTTGTTCAAACATTTCTTGTTCAGTAGGAACGGTTCACTGCACTGTCAGGTGCTTTGCGTTCAAGGGAATTAATTCATGGTCACTGACCTGAGTTCTTTGCCTCAGTTTCATTTCATTCAGTAACTCCAGCCTTTCGGTATGAGTGTTGCTCATTTCCCAAGGTCGACAGCCCATCCCAAGTGCTTACCAGCTGGTGGGTGAAAGGACTCTGTTTGCTGAAAGTCTCAGACTGTGTCACGGGTGTCCAGGCCCTCGAATGTGCCAAATTGTGAATTGCATACGTTTTAAGTGTTGAAGGTAGAAAGAAATTTCTGTTTAAGTGCTCTAGAGGAGAAGGCTAGCTGTTTCAGGTGACTCCATTCTCCGAGTCACCAGGTTCAGGACAAGCAGTGTCTAGAGTAGGGATTCCTGGTACTCAAGCGTTGCTGACCTTCTATAATTCTTCTCACTAATACTTTTAGTGGTTTACAAAAAAGACATAATACTTGCTGCCCTTGTGGAATTCATGGTCTACAGGAAGAGACAGACCTTAAGCATATCCCAAAATTGTTTGATTATAAACTTGATCAGTACCATGAAAGCAAGATCAGGGGGTGGGGCTTGGAGGGACAGCTGCCCTAAGGAGGCAGCATTTGAGCTGGGGCTTGAGGCTTGATTAGGGTTACAGGAAAAGGATCAGGCAGAGGAGCCTGGAGAAAGAGGGACCCAAATGTAGGCAGGGAGCGTGGTGTGATGAAGAAGTGAAAGGAGAGCAAGGGGAAGGAGGGTGGTATAAATTGGTCAGGCCTTGGGACCACAGTAAGGAGGTAGGTGTTTCTCCCAAAGAAAATGGGAGCAACGCTGAAGGGTTTTAGGCAAGGGAGTGACCTGATCCGATGGGCTTCCAAAGGAGAGCCTTGGCCACTCTGGAGAAGGATGGGGACTGGGGGGATGTGGTGCAGCCTTCTGCAGGGTGGGGTTTGTGGGCTGCAGAGAAGGGCACTGCTCACCCACCTCCTCACTCACCCCTCCTCCACCAGGATCAGTGACATCCGACTCTTCATCGTGGATGCCCGGCCAGCCATGGCTGCCACCAGCTTTGTCCTCATGACCACCTTCCCGAACAAAGAGCTGGCTGATGAGAACCAGACCCTTAAGGAAGCCAACCTGCTCAACGCCGTCATTGTGCAGCGGTTAACATAACCATCCCGCCCTGCCGGCGGCCTCACCTTCCTCCTGTGTTTCCCATGGCCAGCTGCCTGTGAGGACCGCCCCTCCTGCCCCCTCCTGAACACCCAGCAGTCCAGTGCCACGTCTCCTCCGTAGCTCTGGGTTCTTAGACCTTGGTTGGACATTTGTTTTCTCCTTAGTTGCATTTCCTGGGTTTTTGTGACGATCAATGGACTTTAAAGAAAAAAATAAAAACAACCAAAAAAATTGAAGGAATATCACCAGCATGTTATACGGAACCTCTCCCACTGAAGTAGGCTTTGATTGCTTTATAGTCATTTCTCTCCAGGGCATGTGAAAAGAACCTTCCTTCCTGCATAAAAATTGCTTGTGGCACACAATACCCATCTACTTGTGTGTCCACCTGCCACCCCCACGATGAGTGGTGAAGGATTTCCCCCTTTATAAGGAAGGAAATAGGGGACTTGTAGAAAGAGGCTTTGCAGCTACCTGTTCCCACCAGAACACATCTCTTACCTAGATAAAACAAAGTAGCAGCAAGAGTCCCCTGAAGTGTGAGGTCAGATCTAGGTGCACACGGCTCCTTCAGATGAAAATAAATACTTCCTTGTGCTCTCTTTGCTCAAACCCTGGGAAAGTCAAGCCAGTTGAGATTCCAGTTACATCTGCCTGCCCCAGCCCTCTCCTCCCTCATCATCTGGCCACTGTCACCCTGGTGATTCTCAGCTACTCTGTCATTGCTTTACTCCATGTGCAGAAATGTGTATCCAGGGAGTAGATAGGGTATCTCTTCATTGGGAAACAGCTCATGCCAACCTGAGTTCAGAGTCAGGGTATCTTGGTGAGAAACGACCAAAATACCAGTGAGCTATTCAATAATGATGTGCGTGGCAAGTCAAATGATGAAGGGGGAGGGAGTCCCTGCTTACCAGCACCTTTTACTGTGTTGGCATTTGCAGGAGGCCTGTGCTGAGTAGATTTTGAAAGTAAGAGTAACATCAGTGGCTTTGGTGTGCAGGTTCCTCCTCAGAGTTCTCTGCCCTGCTGACTTCAGACTTACAGCAACTTAGGCAGTCTGGTAAAGACCTCCCCCATAAATAAGTGCTTTTTTTCTTTGAGTTTTGGAAAAGAGGGCCAGTGGGGTTTTAGAAGCCTTTCTGCCTCCCACTTGAGTGAATCACAGACTTAGAATCAACACTGACTCAGAATCTCCTGGTTTTGAATCATAATGTGCCTCAGTCCTCTTTCCAAGCAGTCACCACCAGTCCTGCTTCACACCTTGCAACAAGCCAAGAACCAACACTACTTACACCCAGAGCTGGGGAACAGCTTGGATTTCAGCCAGGACCCATCCTGAGAAAGGGACACAGCTTGGTGCTTCTGATCCCAAACTGTCAGGGGCCTGCCAGGGCTGCAACATCAGCCACAGTGTGTCCTCCAGCAGATGGCGGCAACTGTGAAAACTGCAGGTCTGGAAAAGCTTTGTAAATTATTGTCACCTTGACCATTAAACACCAGAATGAGGACATTGGAGTTTGATACTTTCTAATGGGTTGCTTTGAAGAAGTGTAGTAACAGCAGCCATTGTAAGTACTTCAGTGCCACAACGGTTCCATTTTACAGTGCAAAACCTAAAGCCCAGCTGGTAAGTGGTAAGGTTTGCTTGCTTCCAAAGGTCATGCTCTTAATCTCCATGCCCCATGTACATACACTCCGTCTCCAACCCTGGCCCTATACACATACACTTGACCCCCTCCCACCCTGCTTCAGAGTTTTTTGTGATTTTTCCCCAAAGATTTTTTATTGATTTTTTTAGAGGGGAAGGGAGAAAGAGGGAGAGAGAAACATCACTGTGAGAGCAAAACATCAGTCAGCTGCCTCTGGCATGCCCTCTACTGGGGATAAAGCCTGTAACTTGGGCATGTGCCCTGATTGGGAATCAAACTGGCCACCTTTCAGTGCACTGGCAGATGCCCAACCAACTGAGCCATACCAGCCAGAGCTTGCTGCTTTTTTTTTAAGATTTTTTTTATCAGAGATTCTGCTTATGTTCATTAGTACACACTAGAAGAGACCACAAAAACACCACTTACGACCTGCATCATCTAGAAAAGCACAAAGGCCTGTTGGGATTCCTACCCAGCCCTGGGATGTTATCTAACACAGCCACCACAGTTCATACCAGCCCAAGGTCAGAGGGCTTGCCAGCCACAGAGCAAGGGATCACACTGGTCTGGATCCAGGCTGGCTAAGGACGTTTTCAGCCCTGGTCCTCTCTGGGTGGTCCAGAGGGAAAGGTTCATCCACCCAGACAGGCTTTCACAGGTTTTTAAAAAACAGGGTACTCGACAGCCACTGGTTCTGGGACTTTTGAATTCAGGGCATTCATTCTCAACTGAGGCATTTTGTTGATCAGTAGGGGCATTTTGGATCATCCCAAAAATTGGTTGGCAAGTAAGGGAACCTCCTGGAGTTAAATGGGCCAAGCCAAGAATATATTGCAGTGCATGGAACATGTCCTAATGGAATGACATCCAAAATGCACAGCGAAAAGGGCAAATTAGTTGTCCTGATGATGCCCTTCCTAACAAGTTCAGCTTAAACTAATCTCTACTGTAGGGAATATGTGGTGTTTCTGTTTGGTCTTGTAGACCACACTGTGCCAAACCCTGTAGGTACAGTTTGGGGCACATCTGGTTGCCTCCTCAGAAGATGGCCAATGGGAAGCAGGCATGTGCAGTGAGCAGAGCATGTCTCCGTGGCTTTGGATGGCATTACCAGAGTGCCCTCCAAAGCAGCAGCGCCTTTTTGGGTGCCCACCAGTGGTACAAAATGTGCCAGTCCCCACCAGGAACTTCAAGCTGACTGAGCTCACTCCATGGAAGGAACTGGTACAGAAGTGTGGGTTCCCTGCTCTCTGTAGCCCAACCACTAGGATTTTCAGAGGAACTGCTGTCACGACTTCTCCCTACCAGGGCCAAATAAAAGGTCTTTTTTCTTTAAAATGGGTTTGCTCCTGTGTCATGGGCTGTAGCTATGGCCTCCCTTTCCCCCCCC